GTTTCAATGAGATGACGGTGTTTCCGTTCAGCGACCCCATTTTGCTCAGGAGTGTAGGGACAAGAGGTGTGATGAAGGACTCCTAAAGTTTGAAGGAAAAGGCCAAAAGCGTTATTTACAAATTCTTTGCCATTATCACTTCGAAAAATTTTGATGTGAGAATTAAACTGAGTTTTAATCATTTTTTCAAAATTCACAAAAACAGAGTAAGCTTCAGATTTATGTTTTAGGGGATAAATCCAGGTAAATTTGCTGAAATCATCAACAAAAGAGATATAAAATCGAAAACCGCTACAGGAAGGAACAGAGGTGGGACCCCAAACATCAGAATGTATTAATTGAAAGGACGCTGTGGCCTTATGTTCAGACAATTCAAAAGGTAAACGACAGGACTTAGAGACATAACATGATTCACAATGTAAAGGCTCTGAAAACTGAAAACCTAAGGAAGACAAAATAGATTTGGCAATCGCAGGAGCTGGATGACCGAGTCTACGATGCCAAGTGGACTCTTGGATAGCTTGATACGCAACGGTTGAGAGTTTGGAAGGAAGTGTGTATAACCCATGCTCACAGAGGCCCTTGTACCGCACCTGGTTGGTAGGATTGTCCACTATCTGGAAATCGTTGGCATTGAAAACAAGAGTGCAGTTGTTATCTTTGGCAAATCGATGGACAGACAATAGATTGGAGGTAAGGGAAGGGACATAATGAAGAGTAGAAAGATGGTATTTACCATTAGGAGTATGGACAAAACCTGATCCAGAGTGTGTGATGGGTAGGGATTGACCATTGCCTACGGTAATAGCATCAGTACCGGTGTATTGATGAGGAGATTGTAGCTGAGAATAATCAGACGTGACATGGGTGTTGGCACCAGTGTCCAGATACCAGTTTCCAGAATGATTACTCGTAGATGCATGCATTGCACGGGGAGCACTAGAGGAAGAGTTCGCAGTATAAGAATCATCAAATCAATACCAGCACGCAGACGCAGAGTGACCTCGTTTCTCGCAGATTTGGCAGGTTGGCAGATCCCGTGACGGTCGACCGTTTCCCTGGGACGGTCGACCGTTGTTCCTTTCTCCACGTCCGCTGTTGTATCCACGTCCAGGTGACGGTCGACCGCGATAGCCTCCTCTACCGCGACCTCGACCGTTCGTAGCGAGAAGTGTCGTGCGAGGTTCGGTGATGGTAGACTCGGTGAGGCTGAGTTTATTCTCCATCTCCAGGTTTATTTCTTCGGAGATCAGCCATCCAGAAAGCTGATTTAACAAAATATTGGTATTGTTCATGCGAATGTTTTGCTTAAAGGATGAGTATTCGGTGGGAAGACCACGAATAACAGCATTCACCACATCACGTTCAGGGATCTCTTCTTTCAAGGCATCGAGATCCGAGAGAATAGTTGCCACATCATCAAGGTATTGTGTCATAGTTTTGGTACCTTTACGAAGAGTGTGGAGTTTGTCCCGAAGCTGATAAACATGAGCGGTGGACACGGAGTTGTACCGTGCGGCCAAAGCATCC